CAAACAGATGCATCTCTTATACCGATTCACTCACGAGTAGATGGGATTCCTCGCGAGAAACTTGTTGGAAATAGTTCTTTGACTAATCGTAAAAAGAAAGTAATTACCCGAATGAATGTTTAATGGCATGGACTTGCATGGCAGAGGTAGGTCTTGGGCATTTATTGTTCAAGGAATTCCGTACAGAGGAATTTCCTTCGTGTTCGCAACTCGGCATTCTTCTGTCTTAATTGACGAAAAATCTGAGAAATCGTGACCATTCCGAATCACCGGAATGTTTTCCATACGGTAGAGCACTTCCATAGTCCTCGTCATGAACGAAACAATGTTGAGTTTGGTCCTTCGATCCGAGGTTCACGGTATGTGACCAGAAAAGCCACCAGACGAAACGCAGCTGGGATAAAAGTAGCCATGGCTAATTGTTCTCCTTTAATTTGTGAAAATTGTTTTTATTTAAACATTAATATATCCGGGTTTGTGTGGGGGAACTTTCACGTGGTGGAACTTTCAGTTTAAAATTCGTATCGCTAAGTTACGTACGTTATCGTCTTCATTATTTTTTTGCTTCGGTGTTTTTAAACTTCAAAAGTTCAATCATCTATCTTTGTGTCTTGGTAAAGTTGAAGAGAAGGTAACAAGTTGGTATCGTAATTTTTTCGTTTATACGCCCCGAGGTTGCACATTCTCTGCAGAAAATTATCCTGAAAAAAGCATGTGCTACCGATTTAGAAAAGTTCTCTGAAAAACTCGAATGTGGGATATCTAATATACTTGCCAGAAAAATCTCAGAACTCCAGTTTTTGATGATTTTCTTGCCCAGACAACATAACAGTCACAATTATTCTACTTATTCTCAAGACTAAGTGGAATAAAACAACTGAAATTCTGCTATTAGCTGATTGTACGCCTCTCGCCCAAAAAATTTTAAACATTAATTGTGCGGGGTTTTGATCACCGACGCAGAAGTTTACTGCATTTTTGTGCAGTAGAACCTCTTCGAAGTCAAATATTAAGGGAGAAGATAAAAAAAAATATCGATTTGCCTAGGAAACAAGCATTTTTGTTGGAGAGAAAAAAGAAGGAAATAGTAATTTAAGGTACTCTGAACTTTGAATTGCTTCTTGAATGAATTTACAGGATGCTGAAATTGAGGGACAGGGTTCATTTGCCCGAATAGTCTCTCACTTCCTTTCAGAAGACATCAAGTTACATTTTGATCGTTTTTTTCTTTCCTTTGTCGATAAAATAATAGCCAAAAGAACTCGGGAAAATTCGAGAAAAGAAGGTGTTTGAGGGTTAACTGCTCCGAGTTCTAAAGGTTTTTAATGCATTGTTCTCAAGGGAATTCAAACCAGGACTCCAGAAAAATTCGACATGGGGGATGCGTTCGACTTGTGGAGGTTCTAGTTGTCGAAGTTCAACTATTTAATTTTGAAGAATTATTCGTCGAAGAAATCATCATTTTTGTATATATATGTGTGTGTGTGTGTTCATGCCGCATTGCCCAAATGATTTGCGGCCCATCCAATAGTAAGTATCCCGTATGAAATTATTGCTAAAAACCTGGGTGCGGCCCTTCAGTTACATGAATATTGTGCGTGCGTATAACTTCGCCTATATTCCATGTGGAAAATTGAAAAGCGGAGAAAACAAAATTTGAAAAAAAAATGGAGCCTCAGGGAAGTTGAACCACTCCTCCCGGCTTCGTTTGCCCGTTCACTCATGCGTCTTCCTAGAAATACCCAGCAGCAGCCGCAGTAGGGAAATGAGGAGTCCAGGCGATTGAGGGTCTAGGGAAGTATGACGAACGATTTTTCTTTTCAACGACACCCACGCGACGGGCGTGTAACACACATACACTCCTCGTATTCCCTACCGGAAGTTTGTTCAAGAACACCCTGGTCTTGTACGTGTGCTTCCAAGGTGACAGAGGGGGGCTGAAGTAGAAGGAAAATGAGAAGAAGAAGAAGAAGAAAGTCGTCATACACTCCTCGTATTCCCTACCGGAAGTTTGTTCAAGAACACCCTGGTCTTGTACGTGTGCTTCCAAGGTGACAGAGGGGGGCTGAAGTAGAAGGAAAATGAGAAGAAGAAGAAGAAGAAAGTCGACGGGAAAGATATGCCTGAACGTCAAAAGCTTTTTTTTTTAAATCATCATCGTGCATTGGGGCGTTGAAACGATGCGAGGTTTAGTTCGTCGTCGTATAGTTATCATGTTTTGGTGCTGGGGTGGGTTTTTATGATGAGTTCGGAGTTTACATACCGAGAGGGAACGAATTAGCTGAGTCATGTAATATTCAACTTGATTTTTTTCTCTCCTTTTTCGTCATGACCTGCGTTCTTGCATGCAATGGAAGGAGAACTAATTATTCAGTGGGTGGTCGCCGTATAGTCACAAAGACCTTTTTCATATTCTGGAAACGCTCCTGAAATTTTCAAAATTTTTTATGCGAGGGTTAGTTTTTCTGGTCGTCGCCTACCTTCGTATGATTCGGAAGTTCGCCTTTTGTAAGAATTCCTTCTCGAATTATTTAGAGCCTTATTAATGTCTATTCATGGATTTTATTGCAGTTTTAAAGCTGTCCTTTCATTATCAACGTCGATTCCATGAAGTATTCTCATGAAGAAGAATACAATACAGTACTATACTTCTAAGGATTATCCGCGAAGATGAAGCGTCACGGAATATCGTTTATCGAATATCGTAAAAATCCGAATCTGAAATAAATATTCAATTGGAACCATACGTGAAATCAAAATCAATGCTCGGAAGAACTTTGTGAACATTTTTTAAAAATTTCCTTCAATTTTTTCAAATGTTTTTGTACGAGAAGTCCGTGAAAAGCAGTTCTTTGCTACGCATCGGATCATTTACGTGAGGATTTCGAATAGTTTCTCAGTTTTCGGCTTCGTATCATTTTTTTATATATTTGGATAATGTTGATATACTGTAGTTGCATTCAATAATATCAATTATATTATGACTTGTGGTGATATATTCATTTTTCCATCGAGAAACTGGGTATTTTTCACTTCATAAATCTTTTGCTTGCAAGATTACGAGGAGGCAGTTTCGTCGGTATTCCGGAGAATATTCGAGTGAGATTTCAAGGTATGGAATGTTTTTTTTCACGTGTGGCTTTTGAAACAGTTGACCAAATGATTTTACTTTGATTCTCGATTACTCTGGTGTCTATTATCAAGTGAAATTGTACAATATTTCCCGTCGCAAACGACATTTTGTGATTCGGTTTCTCTTCTGCGGAAGATGTCATATCAAGTGCAGTTCGCAGGGTTGTTCCGAAGTTTTCGATTATTTACTTCGTCGTTCAGTAAAAAATAATCATCCGAAAGAGCATTGAGAAAAAATATCGTACTCCCAAAAATAGCAAGGCTATATTCCCTTCATCAGACCCGACGGAGCACTAATGTACTTATACATAATTCAAAAGCGAAAAATAACCAAATGGTAAGCGTGATTACATAAATTGCAATTGGCCTCTACAAAATGAAGAAGTACGTCTGTATTCCAGGTCAGGGTCAAGTGAGCTCCAAGCCCAAATACTGCGCATTAGGACGTCTGAGGGCCACCCAACTGAGCGCTAACCAAATGGGCGTCAGCTGAATGAGGAGCTTACAGTCGTAATTTATTGCACTGTGTGCAGTTCATGTCGCCATTTATGTCGAAAAAGCAGTACCGCATAGCAAAAAATAACATTACCGATTTTTTTTTAGCTCGTCGATGCTGGAAATCGTGCTATAGCAGAATTGTATGTTGTTTGTGACGTCTTTTGGCGTTGAAAACATATAAATGCCGAAGAAATCTTGTTGTTTTCACCCAAAAATGTAAAAAGTTTATTCATGTGTGAATTTATATTTTTCATTAATCAAGCAAAGCCTACTTTTTCTCAAGGCAGAAAATCCAGCACGCTCAATTGAGATGCGCAGTTTATTCTTGATACATGCAATGATGATGAATTTGGCACTGCGATTTTTCGTACATATGTGTTTTCATTTTCCTGACGACCTTTCTTCGGTGGGTTAGTGTGGAAGATTTTATACGTGAAAGCATCCAGTTTGAGCACTTGCTTCGAAAGCGAGTTTCCTCGATAAGGGAACCTCGTGGTTTAACGAAGTCATTAGAAAAGTCTGTGAGGATATTCTCGGTTCGAAGTGAGCTCAAAAGCCGTGACGTAGTTATGAAAACCGTGTGTTATTCTCCCCCTCTATCGACGATGTCGGGGGTGCAACGAGCCAGGGGACAACCTGAGTCGACCCGAGGTCTCAACTTTCCAGAGACACGAGATCTTCGAGAAAAAAATAAATGACGACGATGAAAGAACTGGCTGCCTGGCAAGAAAGGAAGTAAATGACTGCGATGAGGAGAGAAACGAGGAAGAATTACAAAAAAAGAGAGAGAGAAGGAATACATGAGTAGGAATTTATTATTAGCTCGTTCCAGAAAACCGCAGGTATTTTTATTTTTATTCTTTTTGAAATCAAGAGCAGGAAAAGAGACGCTTCGTTTTGTTCCTCCGCGCGACGAAACCAGCGACTTTCTTTTTCTGGCGAATTTCCAAAAAAATCTTTTTCCACCTGGTTTTCCAGTAATTTTTCTTTTTCTACAATTCACGAGGGTTTTCGGTTTGTTTGAGTTATGTGTTCATGCGCGGTTTTGATTTCACATGTCGGGGATTCCTGTGGTTAAGAACAAAAAGTCTGGTCAAAGCGACTTGTGAGAATGTTGACGACAATTTTAACTAATGGAACCTTTTATGAATATTATGCTGACTTTGTTGGTTGCATATAAGAAAACCTTCTTTCTTTAGATACCGAAAAACGTAGAATATGCTCTCCGCATATTTTGTTTGCACGGAATTCGTGTGAACAGGATAAATATTTTCCGGAGGAATGCGCGCTCTCCTGGATGGACGTTGAAATGTATCATGAAAAAAAAAAGAGGATGCATATCTGACCTGCAAATTTTAACATATGGAATTGTTTTGTATTTTTCAGGTGAACTCAATCATGGGGATCCTCAACTCGGTATACGGGCTGATTGCGGGTCCAGAAAACATGTTCTTCTTCATATTGACCGGATCTTCTTGGCATACTAGTGAAGGTGACGAAAACCTTGTGGTTATTTTCAAGCATTTTTTATCGATTTTTTGTTGTTGCTGACATTTTTTTATTGACCTTTGAGTTAAATGTTGTCATCGAGGATTAAATTTTTTCTTTGTTCTCGGCAGTTGGGTCGATGTAATGAACCTTTTTCCTGCTAATTTATTTACGTGCAATTAAATTTTTTTATTGTGCATTCGGGAAGCCATTGCAGTATATTTTTAGTTCAATGTTGATGTGTAGCAAAACTTTACGCAGAAACGCATCACACTTCGTTGTGGATTTTTTCAAGAAATACATTTAAAGGAATAGCTCAAACGAGGATGCATTAAAAAACCTTTGAATCAGTGTTCCAAATTTTAAACTTTCCACTGGAATTCAGTCACCTGCTTTCTTTTCTGTCACCATGCATTTGCGAACAAGTGGAATCTGGGAATGAGTGGAATATCGGAATTTCGTTGACTTCCCTATAGTGACATCTATAATTCACTCTGCAGTAATTTTCCGAAGTTTTAATCATTCAAGGAAAATTGAATAAACAAGGAATGTCTCCATTTACTCCATGAATTTGGACACTCCATGCAAGGCGCCCAAAGTTGAACCAATGCAAATCTCACATGATGAAAAATTTTTCTTCCAGTTTATGCAGCTGAAGCTTATGAAAAATACTGTTTTTCCTCTGGAGAAAGTGGATCCAATTAAAAAGGGGACACGGAATCGCCCAGAAATTAAATTAAATTAATTCTTGACTGCTAGTGACATCTAACCTTGTGGCGATAATTCGATAATGCGCAGGACACAGCAGACATGAGGACCGAAAGAAATAATCATTTCTTTACTGTATTTGAGATTTTTACTCCGCAGCAACGTTTTGGGCATCATGTACGAGTTTTGTTCATTTGAGCTTATGAAAAGCAGCCCAGCAGATACAAGTTTTGTTTTCATCTGAGTTTTTTGTAATGGAGCACGCTTTTCTTTTTTGGTTTTAAAAAACACGTCGCTTTTCGCAGCTCGTTTACTGTTGTCGAGCGTCAATAAACTTCGGTTCTTAAATTATTGGAAGCCTCTGTTCACGAGCAGCTGCGGATGTTGGCTCAGGGGGGAAAAATACATTCCGTAGTTTTTACGAGGTAACTCAATATTTCAAGTCTGATGTTACGTATGGGGGAACAGCTGCTCGTGTGAAATGTTGCATGTATCAGTAAAAGATTCATAATATCCAAACCCCGACATTATTCGGTGAATTTAATTACGAGGGTGGAGTCCCGGCCGGGAGATGAAGTCAACCTTTGTTGTTGATACGCTGGAGCGGGGTCTTCAAATATTCTGGCTGCTTTGTTCGTGGAGTTCTTTTGTTTGAATCCTGTTTTTGTTGTTGTTCTCTTTTTTTTTCATGTGCATGACTGAGAACAGTCTTGACTCTCGTGACCTGGTTTGCGTTGGCGGCCAACCTGGTGTTCTTGCTCATTTGCTGCCTCATGATCCACGGCGTGCGACTGGTGAGTCTCCTGTGAATTGAAGGCAAGGGTTTATTTGACTGATTCGTCTTTCACTTTCTTTCGAAAAGCATCAAGTAACATATTAATTGCTTTTCTCTTTCCTGTGTCGATAAAATGATAGACTAAAGGCCTCCGGAAAATTCGAGTTATGAAAGTTTCAGGAGGAAAGCTTTCGAGTTACAGATGGTTTTAATGCATTTTTTTTAAAGAACTTGCAAATATACGACATTCGGAGGTATTCAACTTGGGGAGGTTTGATTTATTGAAGGTCAACTGTAATTGTGTCTAGTTATCGTTATTACGATGTCCGACGTGGAAGACTTCGATATTTTTGTTGTCGTGTGGGTACAGGTTGACTCTCCAAAATGAAACTCGAGGGACCAGAAATAATTTCCTTGTAGAGAGAATTCCGTTGTGAAGAACCCCTGTAACATGGAGAGTTGACCCTGTGGGACCAAAAAAATTTTTTTTTTCAACTTTGCAGAGAAAATTATTTGCAGACAAGATCGTTATAGAGAGAGTCTCTATGACAATTCACATTAGGATCGTTTGATACATTTAGTTTAGGTCAGGCATGTTGAGGTTTGGTGAGACCGTGTTTGACAGGTGGGTGATCGGAGCGACACCTGCACGAAAAAATTTAGAGAACAAGCCGCCACTGGGTTGCGTCATCTTCCCATCAGATAATGCAAATTTTATTCCAAACTTGACTCCGAAGCGCAACTTGACCCTGTTTTTTTCGTAATCTAAAGGGTACGCCGAGAAAAGGATTGTTTTGTGGGAAATTCTTGCCTCTTTTATTTTCGAATGATCGATATCGGTAGCACGATTAGTTCGAAAAATGCTAGAAATAAGAAAATAAAATTTTCTCACTTTCTTGAATCTTGAAAAAATCCGGAAACCAGCCAAGCATCGAAGATGTTCAAAGGTTTTTCCAAAAACTGTTCGATGACGTTTTTCATGAAACGAAGGACAAAAAGAAAAAAAAAGGTGATGATTCTGGAGTTGCTATACCTTTTTTTCTGCTTTTCTGGTTCCATTCGCATTTGGTAGGAAACAGAAATTAGTTTTTTCTAACTTTATTTAAAAAAAACTTTATGTTGTACGTGTTTACTCGAGTACCACGCGCACCTTTTTTCTCAAATTTCAGAAGAAAAAAAGGGGTGCGCGTCATAAGCAGGGACAAATTTTCCAAGAAGTTTTTGGAAGTTATGTGTGCATTATACTTGATTATCATGGAGAAATTTGGAACAAATGTAATAAGAAAACTTTTTTGTACTGAAACATTTTCAAAATTGATCAGATTTTTGTTCAGTTCATGTCTAAAGTCAATTTTTTGTTTTTATTTTTGAAATTTTGTGGTTTCAGAATGACCAAAAATAGGGGTGCTTACTCGGGGATAAGATTTTAGCAAAATTTCCAACTGAAAAACCTGTGTGCGCGCCTTAATCCAGGGCGCGTGGTACTCAAGTAAATACGGTGTTTTCTTTAGTCCTTGGTCTAATCAATCTATACGGTACATTAGCATTTTCTAAAATAATGCATATCCCACCCTTCAAAAATTGTTTCGCGGAGACTCATGTATTGCTACCCTCGAAGTGCAGTAATTGCATCATTTCGAGCACCTTTTTCAAATGAAGGTTTACCCGTTGTTCGTGATCCTGTTGCGTCAAGAGCCCGCTGTAACTTAGAACCCACGTTGGATAGTACTGAGGTGCAGTACTGAATGCATTCTCTTGTCTCTCTCTCTGCAACAGGAGAAGCGTTGTCTGCTGCTGCCATGGATCGTGTGGTCGTGTCTGTACATATTGTTCCTGATCTTTTCGGTGGTGATCATCTTTCTGGCTGGGACCGGAGACCTGCGGCTTCTGGCACTCGCCGTCGGCCTAATATTTTTCGTGGGCGCCTGGGCGTACTTCACTCTAGTTGTCGTCGCTTTCTTCCAGGTACGGTATTTATAAACAGCGAAGATTTGCCTGAAACGAGTAGAGAAAAAATAATTATAGTAGATTAAAAAATTAATCTAAAAAACCACGTTCTTCTTTTTTGGGTATTGAAAATAGTTTAAAAAATATTCTTATAATTTTTCTTTTTACAAAAGATTGCATTGTCATCAGTTTCTAAGCTATCCTGAAAGTTTCAGCTTGCTAGCTAGTCGGGAAGTGAGCGAAATTTGAGTTGCAAAATTTGATCCGGACAAACAAACGGACAAGAAATGGAGTTAATAAAAACGTGTTAATTAAAAAAAACTGCACACGGCTATTTTCAATACCCAAAAAAGAAGAAGAAAAAGGCAGTCGTGTGAATTTGCACTGCTTTTCTTTACTCATAAGCCATAAAGCGCCCGCCTGTGTGAAGGCGATTGTTTGTAAACGGTAATACATTACTGTGAGGTCCCGAAATGCGGACGTAGTTGGTGCTTGGATCTCGTCTATGTGGCGGAACGTCCACATGTTGGATCACGATTTCCCTTCAACTTCGATGAGAATATTTTATATTTAATTTGTTTCCTTGGTGATAGAAAATTATAAACAAGTTCCCTCAAACATTTAATATAATAATTTTTATCAACATCGAGTTGGAGAAAGTAATTGCACACAGAAAACCCACGCATAATCGATTTTTTTTTTCGGCATGAAAAGGAGCCCGAAGAGACAAAGAACAAGCAGAAGTCTTTCTATAGATACTGTGCAAATATGGAAATAATTCTGGAAAAACAAGCATACAATTGGGCTTTTATCAATTAGGAATTATATTGAATCCATGATAAATTTATTTTATTTGTTTGTAATACAAAACGCTCAATTTGTTCAAGATATATCAAAATTTCGTAAAAGAAAAACGTTCATTTGGTCTAGGCATTTTGGTCAAGTGTCCGTATAGAAAATTATATAGACGAGACGTTTTCCACGGATAAGGACAGATTGTTTGAGTTTATAGTGTCCCTATGTCAAATCGTTTGTATGTCGGGGCCCGATTGTACTTTCTAAGTTCAGAGAAAATTCAGACGTTTCTGAATCTGATCAGTACTCCAGACACCGAATTGAAGTTGTGAGAAATCTTAATTTAGTAATTAGTGTTGAAGTGATAATTTTTTCATACCTTACTTGGAGTTCATTCGTACCGTTATTTTTTGTCAAAATTTTCAGCAATCTTTAAAAGGAAGGTAATGAAGATAATGTAGATCTGTGCTTCATGTCTTTGCCATTTTAAAGCTATTGGGCAGTTAAATTTGCTCAAGTTGAGCTCATTTTTCACGAAGAGTACATTTTTCTGAACGGAGAAACCGAAAATACTGTGGTAGTGTTTGTTATTTACAAACTTCTTTCAAATAAGACGATATCCATCATGTCAGCTCCTGTTTGAAAATGCTTTGTTCTGCTGATTTTTGAAAGAAGTAAAACGGGTTGATCAGTGCTTTAGACTGAAAGCGGAGACCTAATCACTCAAATGTAACCATTATTTGTTGTGAGAAATTTTGAATAATATCAGTTCTTCAAATTTGGTGAAGAAGAATCAGTGGTCAAATTTTCTTTCATTGCGAATAACCGGACTTCTCTGACTGTCAAAAAACTATGATTCAGTGACTAACTTCGGGGAAATTTTCTTTTTCACGCATGAAGACGCCAACATTAGCTTCTTCATTTTTGGTTTAGATACTTTGGATAACCTGGTTGATCGCAACTTACGCATTCAAGAGCTGTTGGTCACCAGTCATTGAATCTACTGTACTTCGGCATGATTTGTTGCGTAAAATGTTGTGGAACAACGAGCGCTTGTATACGACTTAATTTCACTAAAACCTCAGTCCAAAAGCTTTGAAATATCCTGAATGATCTCATCGCCGTATTTTGTATTCGTACTTCTTGATCAAAACTGCGTGTGCTGGAAATTTATCGTGGATCAGTGGAGAACTTTCTTGAACTGACTATCGCTTTTTCAACAGGCTTTGCGAGGCGGTTATGCCCTTGACCAACCAACGTTGCCAGTGTGGAACCAAAAGGATCACTACTGAGAGAAAACGCATGAAATTCAACGCCATTTTTTCAGCTACCCTTCACCCCTGAAAAGTGCGTCCAAGATTCCGGGGAAGTTTGTAAGCAGCGACACCTGGAAATAATTTGTCATATCTGCCATCGATAAATTACGTAGATGTCAGTCTTGTAGTATTTTGCTTTCCGTGCTTATGTCTCGTCGGATATAATGAGGCAGTCTTGCCTATTACACAGTCTTACGGCGCCCGAAAGGAAAAATAATTTCGTGTTGTGAGGGCAACCGTTGCAAAATTATAACCTTATTTTTTGGCAATCCGTCATCTGAAGCTTCGAAATGTTTGCGAACGATTTTATTTGTTTGAATTTGAAGGGGAAAAAATCGGAAAACCGTCAGGAGAAGTTCTGGAGGAAGACATCGGCGTGATGATTCGAGAATTGTTGAGAAACTTTTTTTTGAATGCGGCATTTTTTAGGGAAGCCTCGAATTCGGTTTTCTGTGTCGAACTTTTTTGTTTCCGTGACAGGTATAGAATGTGTTTGCGTTTGTTTTGATGCATGTGAGTTGAGAAGAATGAGATTTCACAGAGTTGTGTAAGGAGCATCTCGCGTTCGTGGTATTTATCTGCTGCTGTTTTTTTAATTCTTAAAGGAGAGGTGATGTGAGAACGAAGTCAGTTTGTAAAACTCCGCAAACTGAAGATTTTGTGAATGACCGAGCTGTTTCTTTTTCAGCAATTAAACACGGATTTGAGAAGAGGACGAATGTTATTTCAATCGAAAACCGAGAAGTTCGTTCGCAGAAGAATTACCATAATTCCGTACTTCGCTTCATTCTTGTTCTTCTGGCTCTTTTCGAAGAATTCCGCGCGTGTTCTATTCTGAAGAATCATGCTGCTATATTTTTTCTGGATTGGAGACTCACAAAGAATTGCTTTTCGGTTTATAGAATAGGATAACTTGAGACCTGACAACTGCATGGGAAGCAAACGTGAGCGAACTCGTAACTGAATTTAGGAAGAAGATGGTTTTTTTTTCGAGTAGATTTCGTATAAATGTTTGTAGTCAGTGTCCAAACTGGCTCTAAACCCAAAGTTGTGTTCACAGCCCCTGTCATCCGTGTCAGTAAGGCTCATCCAAAGCATGTTTTGAAGTTCTGACGCTGAACAGGTACCAGTGCGTTTGAAATACAAGTTTGGCCACGACATTTGGATGTCCCATCATGTGGACAATTGGACCAATGGGCCCTTGAAGAATGTGCCCTGACATATAGTTCTAGACAATGTCTCAAGATTTGAACTCGACCAAAAATCGAAGAAAAACAATTGCATTTATTTTCAAATTTTGATATACATACCTTTAACATGAAATCAGGAATATATCTAATTAAAAACTATACCCATATTCTGTACCTTGAACGTGAAGTCAAAATAAAATCTAATAAAAAATGTCTTGAGGTCAAACCTCTTCAAGTTGAACTTCTGAGACGAACACCTTGTGTTGGGTCTTGATCTTGAGGGTCATCTTGTATCTCCACAGGTCCAGCATCTTATAATTTGTCTTCTCCAGTGATTGCACCAGTCAAAAATGCATACAGCACAAAAAATATAACGCGCCTCTCCGTTCACTAGAGCAAATTTTTGCCACTACAGTATAGGTGAAAAGGGTTTGGACTCACCGAATTTCGGCCTGTACTCTACTTCTTCGCCCATATAAACCATTACACAAAGACATCCCACACTCATTGTTAATAGATTCTAATTTGCCACTTGCCCACAAAATCATCAATCCTATTCACTAAAGCTATAAAACTTGCTCCTCACACTTACACAAAATTGAGAAACTAGGTGCTTTAGTAGATACTGTACTTGTGATCACAAAGGACCTCTGATGAACTCTGACTGATATGCTGTCCCTGGCAGGATTTGCAAAAGCTACCAGATTCCCCACTGCGAACTCCCTCTAGAACAATTTTATTTTTACAACACATTTCTGTTGGTTCCATATACAGTCAGCCCCCGTCTAACGGACTTGATTTGTGCAAGGGACAAGTCTGTTAGACAAAAAGTCCTTTACAGGAATTCAATTACATAAAAAATTTCAATTTTCAACACTANTGAATGATCTCATCGCCGTATTTTGTATTCGTACTTCTTGATCAAAACTGCGTGTGCTGGAAATTTATCGTGGATCAGTGGAGAACTTTCTTGAACTGACTATCGCTTTTTCAACAGGCTTTGCGAGGCGGTTATGCCCTTGACCAACCAACGTTGCCAGTGTGGAACCAAAAGGATCACTACTGAGAGAAAACGCATGAAATTCAACGCCATTTTTTCAGCTACCCTTCACCCCTGAAAAGTGCGTCCAAGATTCCGGGGAAGTTTGTAAGCAGCGACACCTGGAAATAATTTGTCATATCTGCCATCGATAAATTACGTAGATGTCAGTCTTGTAGTATTTTGCTTTCCGTGCTTATGTCTCGTCGGATATAATGAGGCAGTCTTGCCTATTACACAGTCTTACGGCGCCCGAAAGGAAAAATAATTTCGTGTTGTGAGGGCAACCGTTGCAAAATTATAACCTTATTTTTTGGCAATCCGTCATCTGAAGCTTCGAAATGTTTGCGAACGATTTTATTTGTTTGAATTTGAAGGGGAAAAAATCGGAAAACCGTCAGGAGAAGTTCTGGAGGAAGACATCGGCGTGATGATTCGAGAATTGTTGAGAAACTTTTTTTTGAATGCGGCATTTTTTAGGGAAGCCTCGAATTCGGTTTTCTGTGTCGAACTTTTTTGTTTCCGTGACAGGTATAGAATGTGTTTGCGTTTGTTTTGATGCATGTGAGTTGAGAAGAATGAGATTTCACAGAGTTGTGTAAGGAGCATCTCGCGTTCGTGGTATTTATCTGCTGCTGTTTTTTTTAATTCTTAAAGGAGAGGTGATGTGAGAACGAAGTCAGTTTGTAAAACTCCGCGAACTGAAGATTTTGTGAATGACCGAGCTGTTTCTTTTTCAGCAATTAAACACGGATTTGAGAAGAGGACGAATGTTATTTCAATCGAAAACCGAGAAGTTCGTTCGCAGAAGAATTACCATACTTCCGTACTTTGCTTCATTCTTGTTCTTCTGGCTCTTTTCGGAGAATTCCGCTTGTGTTCTATTCTGAAGAATCATGCTGCGATATTTTTTATGGATTGGAGACTCACGAAGAATTGCTTTTCGGTCTATAGACCTGAGACCTGACAGCAGCATGGGAAGCAAATGTGAGCGAACTCGTAACTGAATTTAGGAAGAAGATCTTTTTAGGAAGAACAGAGTTCGTTTAAATTTTTGTAGTCAGTGTCCCACTGGATTTAAGCCCAAAGTTGTGGTCACAGCCCCTGTCATCTGTGTCAGTAAGTCGCATTCAAAACATGTTTTGCAATTCTGACGCTAAACAGGTAGAAGTGTGTTTGAAATACAAGTGTAGCCACGACATTTGGATGTCCCACCATGTGGACAATGGGTTCTTGGAACATGTGCCCTGACATCTAGTTCTAGACGATGTCTCAAGATATGGACTCAATCAAAATTCCTACAAAAACAATAACACTTATTCGCAAATTTTGATATACATACCTTTAACATGAAATCAGGAATATATCTAATTGAAAACTATACCCACATTCTGTACCTTGAACGTGAAGTCAAAATAAAATCTAAAAAAAAAATGTCATGAGGTCAAACCTCTTCAAGTTGAACTTCTGAGACGAACACCTTGTGTTGGGTCTTGAGGGTCATCCTGTATCTCCACAGGTCCAGCATCTTATAATTTGTCTTCTCCAGTGATTGCACCAGTCAAAAGTATAAAGCACAAAAAATATAACGCGCCTCTCCGTTCACTAGAGCAAAATTTTGCCACTACAGTATAAGTGAAAAGGGTTATGAGTTATGACTCACCGAAATTCTGCCTGTACTCTACTTCTTTGCCCATATAAACCATTACACAGAGACAGCCCATATTCATTGTTGAAAGATTCTAATTTGCCACTTGCCCACAAAATCATCAATCCTATTCACTAAAGCTATAATACTTGCTCCTCACACTTACACAAAATTGAGAAACTAGGTGCTTTAGATACTTGTGATCACAAAGGACCTCTGATGAACTCTGACTGATATGCTGGCCCAGGCAGGATTTGCAAAAGCTACCAGATTCCCCACTGCAAACTCCCTCTGGAACAATTTTATTTTTACAACACATTTCTGTTGGTTCCATATACAGTAGTTCTCTCTCCGTTTTATAGGGGCAACAAAATTCTCTGGGATTTGTGTCCCAGGTGGTTCTCTCCACATGTTATTGGGGTTCTCTACAACAAATTCTGTCTGCAACAATATTTTTTCATGGTTCCTTGAATGTTCTGGTACTAGATAGAGAGAGCCCACCTGTATTAACACCTATAAATCCCTCTGGCAGCTGCCTTTCTGAAGTCCCCAGCAACCCCTGTTCTCATGGGGTTCCTCATCGCCAACATCTTTGGCACTGACTGGTCGGGGAATCATGGTATCATGGCATGTGTCACTGGTGAGAACATGTCATGGCCTGGCCACGATGTTGACACGCCCAAATCATTGACTGGGAGAAACCTTGCACCATGATTCCTTTAAGGAAGTACTTCTCAACCATAAATTCTGCTTATTTCTGGTTGCTGGTATGCTGTATACAAGTGTTGGAGCAGATTTACTGCAAGGTTTCCCGCTTGTACCTTCAAATAAATGTACAGTGAGACCCAAAAATGTGGACACCCCAACACATGGACAATTCAACTTATTGGGGACACTTGAAAATTAAAATAAGGGCTTGACATCCTGACAAAATCTTGATGCCCAGACACTATCAGCATTTCTAGAAAATTGAAGCATTTTAATATTTCAAAATTCGAATGTCTCTTGAACAAGTTGAGCTATTTATATTCACATAAGAAATTAAAACCAAATATCATAATATATTAACTTGAATTTATAATCAAAAACAGGCTCTGTGCTTTTTTTTATCATTCTCTATCATCTATGCACAGGATAGCAAGACTTGAAACTTTTTTGTATTTTGGAGTCCTTTTCATGCTAGAGGATCATATTCCGTGGGTTTCTTTATTCTGAATAGTTATATTCTGTATTTTTAAGTTGAGAAGCACATTTTATTTGATTTTTTGGGGTCAATCCCTATTTTCCACAACCTGGAGAACCAATTAAATGAGTTCCCATTGAAGTCAATGGGAAAATGAGGTCCAAAATGTGGAAATTCTGACATGTGGACATTCCAACATAGGGACACTGTTCAAGCACCATTTATGTCCGCATCTGGGGGTCTCACTGTACTTGCAGAGATATACAGCGTGTAACAAATGCAAATTCAAGATTCTGTGAAAATATTTGCAGCTCATCCGGAGCTCGAGTGGTAAAAATTTCTGTGCTCTTCGACATCAGCGTAAACGTCCTTGTCCCAATGCTCTACTTCATCTGTTTTTGTTTGGTTTGCGATGAAGTGAAAGTGCGCCGAATTCTTGTCTTCAATGACCGCGCACAAAACATGACGGTAATCGAGAGTGAAGATATTTCGTGGGAATGCACAAAAACTTTCTTGATTTATTTATTTGCAATAAGCTATAGAAGGTGGAAATCACCCATTTCAATGCGATAGAAAATAACATCGAAGATAAAGAAATTCTCCCCGCTGCGCCACAATTTTCAAGAATTCAGTGAAGAAATGAAAACAAATTTTCTGG